CAAATTGATGTACCTGTTTTTTTTTAAATTTTGGTTAGCATCAAACACTTGATGATTCTGCTTTGGGTTTAAATAACACTGAAGGCTACCTTTTAACCTCAGAATGTTCTGATCCCAAAAGTTTTCCTCATAATTTCTGTTACTCATGCAACTTTGAGAGAATGTCCAGAGTTGTGGGAACTGGGGAATTCTGGACTAACTAGGGAGAGCAGCCTTATCATCTCAGCCTTCAAAATGGTGACAGATGCCAGACACCCAATAGTTTGCTTGACTTCTATCCACATCATGGGCGATTAAACATAGCTAAAATGAGGTTATCAGTGTGACTGTAAAGCACAATTAAAAATTTTGCCCTACATTAGTATGTTTGCTGCTGGCAAGGTATTGAAATCCAAGCGTATACACTCCCTTGGACCTTGACTGGATGGATATGTTTTGATAAACTTCATGGTGGCTTTTTGGAAGAGGTTCTCCATTTGGTACAGGAGCTCCATGATCATTCTCTCCATGACCTGCCACCCCCCAGCCCCATTCCCTGGTCCACCTCAAGAAGTGAAAGAGTTAGCAATGGAAAATTATATAGCCATCATAAATAGTTTCAGCATTTATTTAATGGCATGGGGAAATGTCTTCTGTAAAAAGTTGAGTTAAAAAAAGCAGGATAAACTGGACACATACTATGATCCAAATCTGTTTAGTCATACACACCTTTATATGTACATACATTCAATGTGAAAATTTTTCACAAAAGAGCTAAGTTGGCTGTCTCCAAATAATGGAATTACACACGAATTTTTGTTAGCTGTATTTTCAAGTGCGTTTCTTCATAATGAGCATGTATAACTTTTACAACCAAAAATAACAATGTAACAGAACCCAAATAATATCTGGAAGATAAGAACCATCTTTGTGGGGTTAGTCCAACATTCTTAAGGTAGTTGCTTATTTCAGAGATGGTTTATAAAGGATATAAATTAATTCTGCAAAACTTCCTTATATATTCGAGAATACTTATCATCCTGATTTCCCCCCTCACTTGTGTTATTTGCTTTTCCTTCACTGTTCCCACCCACCATGGGTACAGGTTGATCTGAGGCTGAGAAAGTAGAAAGACCAAAGTAGAGGGTCGGATGCACTATGAACAAAAGAATAATGAATTCTTCCCTCGGGCTCTGACTCCTCTTGGGACCAACGTGGCCTGATTGGAGGAGAGAGAGAAAACCAACAATGCCAGGGAGCTTGTATTTTTCTAAATAGTGGAGCACTTAATCAACTTCGTATCACTCCCCACAACCGCACATGGAGAGATGGGGGTTTGGGAGGATGTTAGAAGATTATTTTTTGCTTCAAATTTACTGGATCCGGTTACTGACAGCATAGAATATATCAAAAGTTGTTTGGCAAAAAGACTAATACTAAGTTTCTTTTTTTTTTTTTTTAAGATAATTCTAAGTTTCTTGAGGGCAAGGACCACATTCTCCCTCACGTTTACACAGAGCCTAGGACAGTGCCTCACACTGAGTACCCAGTAAGTGTTGAAATCCAAAAAGAAAAAGTATTTTTGTGGATTTCAGATGACTGCAGAGGCAGTGGCTAACAAGCTTATCAACACAGTGGAATGAGACTTCTGTATTAAAGGCCAGCAGAGCTTGAAGAAATCACTGGTCATGGAACACGTTGGGGAGTGTGTAGCTTTAAAACAAATGCATCAGAATGCAAAATGAAAGGGACCAGAAAGGACATGGGTAGTTTGAATGAGCAAATTTAATTATGACTTTATATTTGAAAAGAGAAAAACATGTGTAATGATTCTCAGAGGGTGGAGTGGGAGGTGTGGCTGAAGAGAATGTATGAAGTATATGCACAAATCTGAACACATACCCAAAACTGGTGGGAAGGTATGGCATGTTCATATGTATGAATTTTTAAAGTTTGAGAACCACTGGACTAAGCAATTGGGTTCCCCATTCAACCCACGGCATCGCTAAGAAAATAGAATGGCCTTTTCAACATCAATGATCGTGGCCTTCACTGTCTCCCAACCCAGTGATCATGCCTAACCTGCTATATACTTCCAACCCTTTATATTTAGCTTTATAAAATACTTATTTTTGTAAAAGCTAGAGCATGGCACTAACCATTTTTTCTTCTCATCTGCCTAAAAACCCACATGACAATGTCTTCTAAAAATTTTAAAAATACCTTCACCTCCAGGCTTCTCTGGTTCCGGTGCTTACTAGAGCAGAATTTCCTGGAAAGCAGACAACAAATACACTAATATGTGACCACATGGAGAAAAGGAATCTGCATCTAGAGAACAGAGGAAAATACATGTGTATGTATTTCAGGTGGAAGGAGGTAGAGAGAGAGTTGGCAGAGTACAAATTAAGAGAGAAGGGAGACCCTTGTCAATTAGAATATCAAGCTCAGCAGTTCTCTCAAGTTAATTCAGGAAAGGAAGGCAAAGGGAAGGCACAACAGGCTTATGTATGTGCACCAAGCATATGCATTTGTGTGTTTCCTATGTATCCCTAATATATTCACCTAAAGTGTACTTTTCCTAAGCCTTAAGGCATTCCAGAGTAGAAACCAGTTAAAATATTTATTTGTATATTTGACTATCAGGCCAACCTTACAGAGAGAAAATCTTCTGCTGAGTCTCAGAGCTTGGTGTGAAAGTCCGGGGTTAAGATCATTTAAGCACCAATTAGCCCACATCTAAAACCTGGCTTATCAGGTGGCCATGAAGCAGGTTGCTCTCGTTTGATCTTCAAGTTATTCTCAAGGAACATTAACCATAGATAAGCACTTCAAAATTTTTGGCAGTGAGTGATAAAAAAAATAGTTTCATTTCACTTAAACACTCCTACGGGACTATTTTCTATAGAGGCTTCATAGTTGAAGGCTTTTGCAATTCTTTACCTTCCCTAAACTTCAAAGTTAATAGAGAAGAGAACACTAGAAAGAAAACCATTCCCCAAGTAAGAGATCATAAAGTACAATATGCTTCTGAATTTCTTTAATAAATCTTACCGCAATCCCCAAAACGTATGTCTTACAATGCAGCCCATAGCTGGTGAATACATTCTACAGCGGTATGCACCCCCGTATGGTTGGTATGATTTCAAGATTTGAAACTTGATGGCCAGGGTCCAAATCCCATTTATTAACCTCATGACCTTGGGCCACCACCCTAACCACGGCCTTACGCCCTCGTCTGGGTAACAGAATCCTGACAGTAATAGTGCCTACCTCCTAGGGCTACTGTCATGAGGACCGCCATGAATTAACTCACCCTAAAGGCTTAACACAGTCTCTGGTGCACAGAAAGGACCCAAAAAATGTAGGTGAGGTTAACATTCTACCAAGAAAAAAAACCCAATACTATAAATCATTTTAAGACAGGTTTTAAATTTTAAATGGTTGTCAGCAGATCCCTGCTCCTCTTTCCCACAGAGACACCGAGACAAGCTTTTTCCGAGAGGACTTTTAAGTAAAACAACTCGTGATAAAGACACAGGCTAGCATACCCCAATTCAAATCACGTTCAGACAAAATCATTACCTGATGCTGACTAAAACTGTTGTCTTCTGAGATATTACCTTCTTTAAACGCTAAAGCCTCAAAGTCTATAACTAGGAATTTAAGCAAATTAGAAGCCACTCTCTTTACGCAGCTGTCTCAACTAACAAAATTCCACATCATGAACTTCTAATAATGTTTCTTGTCCACAGATTAATAGTAACCTAGTTGAAAACCACATCATTTCCTTTTTCTGCCTCATTTCCTTCAAAGTGAAACATAATTTTTTCTTGGACCTGGAATAAAAATTTCTAGATTAAGCAAATCGTTACCAGAAATGCAATTTTATACCACTACTATTTCAGGAACAACAAAACACACAAAACATCTGTGTGATGCTTGTTAATACATAAAAATAACCTAATATATATAGTGTATACCACCTAAGTGGAAAATTGAGTCTATAACTAGAAGTGCAAACAGAAATCCACTACCGGTTCCATCAGTATTGTGTTTTGAAGTCCAGTTGGGAACATTTTAGGAACTGTGACACTTCTTTAAATCTTGGCGGGAGGTCACAAACTGCTTGGCATAGATGTTTCATTTGCCCAACACAATACTTTTAAAATTATTAAACTCAAATATTTTTAGGTGGGCCACGCCCGTTATTTATTGACAGGCCCTTAAAGGCATTTCATTTTGCAAACCTTGATTAAGGCCCATCCTTACAGAGAAGAGATCAAAAGATAATCATTAGTTAAATGGGTACCTCCCTCAATGATGTCCTGATGAAGTCCAGACACTTGGAAAATTAAAGGTCCTAATAGTTTCATTCAGAAATTCTTCTAGTTTTCTTGTTGGATTACTTTTAAGTAAAGACTTTCAGGGTATGTATCTAACAATGCCTCATTCGATTAGGGTAGCTGAGCTGAGTTGTTAAGGTTCATTTATAGCTGGAGACTGAAAGAAATCAGAAAATAGGGAATTTTTAAAAAAACACGTTGGACCAAAATCCAAATTTTACATTATTTTCAAAAAATTAATAATATTCGGTCAATAGTTGGTTTTTCCTCATATAAAAGGAAATGAATTTGCTTGGTGCAATATTTAAAGAGGAACTAGTTCCTACTAATGTATTTCAATGAGTATTTATATATATATATATATATATACACACACACACGTAGAGACACACACATATATACACACATACTCAGAGCAGGGACTGAGCCAACTATAACTCTCATTCTTTTCAGTTCCTTCGTACTTTCTGGGAGATTCTACTCCACTTACAAATTAAGCCTGAGTCTGGGAGCCAAACAAGAGAGCACTGGAGAGGGTTTCCTAAAGCATTAGTTCATGCGTCACTCCAAAGGTATTATGTTTTAGGCACTGATGAGGCACAAGCTAGCTGGTTTTAGAGTCCAAATGTTATTAGTTAAGCATCCTTTTAAATTAACGTAGAGGAAGGCTTCCATTCAGACTGCCCCAGTAAGTACACCCTTGTCTCCAGCATCTTCCGAACACAAATACAAGGCACCCTGCTGTGACTTTGCTTCTGGGGCCGCTGCCCCTGAACTCTGTTGGATGAGTCTTTCTGAAGGTTCTGGCGAATTCTCCCTCCATCTGGGACTCGAGTGCTGCTGGGAGACTTCCCAGAGTGAAGGACACGGGGAAGGGAGCCCCAGAGCAGACCTTGAGAGGGGATCCTCTTGAAGGCCTACTTCCTGGACACACCTGTTGGAAAGCACTTCCTTCTCTTTGGAATTCCGCCACTTCATTCTTCTGTTCTGAAACCAAATTTTCACCTGTTGACAAAATAATTGAACAAAATGGCCACTTACTCCACGTTACTTCACTTCAGCATTGTAAACTGTAATGCCTTCTACGAGATACCTTATTGTGAGAGCCAGCCTAGCAAAGTCCTTATGGCTTTTCACCTGGGCTCCTTCAAAAATATCTGAACAACTGCTTTAGTATAATATCCCCACACTGATGAAACAAAACGACTGCAATAAGCGGGTTACCGCCTGCAAGTCTGACATCTTTCAAAACTGATTTAACACTCAACAGTTTAAAACATCATTTAGTCCATGCTAAATTATTTACACAAAGGAAAGGCTATCGGCTAGTAATAGTGTTTACTTTGTGCGAGGTGTCAGACCGTGCATGCTGTGTGGATTACATAATTTGATCCTCACGATGACTGCACCAAGTCCTCATTTCACATGTATGAAAATTGAGGTTCAGGGTGATAAACCAGTTCAAGGTCACTCAGCTAGTAAAATGGAAGCACTTAGAACAGAATCCATGACTGTCCCACTCCAGTGCCCAGGCTCTTAAAACATTCAGATTTCATTAGGAACTTCTGGAAAACTAAATTAGGAATGCATTTTATAATGCTTTGATAAATTCCAGGCTTCAGTTTCCAAGTTTGATTACTCATATGATTTATCAAACTTGAATAATTAGGCTCAATATCAATCGTTATTAACCCCAAAGTACTTATGATGGTGGTTTCTAATTTGAGCCATACTTCCGCCCCACCCCACCAGAGTCTGTCTTTACTATTAACTCCCCCCTTTATCTACTCCGTAGTCAACCGTGCCTGATCAGAAAACTTCACAACTGGTTTCCTGATATTTTAAAAGTCAATCACATTGTTCTCCTGAGCATTATACTGCATCTTTACTTGAACAATTTAGTGGGTTTCTATTTTTAAAACAAAAAACTAGGAAGTTTTACCTTAAAAAATAATTATTAAAGCATTACCAACCAATGTTTCTCCCAATGAAGGAAAAATTTCTATCTGAGATGATCTTTCCAGAATGGCAAAACAATTCCTTCATTCTTTCAACCTGACTGGCAATTTCAAAATGGCTGCAAAGAACCTGACCCCAGGCAAGTGAGTCCAAAAGATTGCCATCTCAGTTACAATTCTGTGGTTAAGGCTTTTCATAAGAAAACAGCACTAATGTGTACATATCAGAGCATTTGGTTCTAGTCATGAACTCATTTATTATTTGCAGTGGGCATTTACTCCTAGAAAGCCTGCCAAGTATTTCTAGTGGGTTTTCACTAAGACATTTTATTTGTGCCCATTGGTGATTCTTGCCCTTCTCATCACATTCATTATTTTCTTCTTTCCTTAGTTTTTCTGTAGACCTTGAATTTTTTCTGAGTGATATCTCAAAGAAAAAAAATCATGAAGAAAGTTTCTTCACAATCAACAGTATTGAAACAAATGTACATATTTGGGGAAAACCATAAATTAAAAGTTCTACCTCTCAACAAATACAAAAACAAATTTCAAATGGATGAAACAGCTAAACACAAAAAGAAAACTATAAAAGTTCTAGAAAAGAACTATAAGAGATTGTCATTACAGTCTTAGAGAGATGAATTTTTTTCAAGCATTGACATAAAACACTAAGACCACAAAAGAAAAAATAGAGCCACCAACATAAAAATGAGAAATTTCTGTGTAAAGACACCACAAACATATGAAAAAGCCACAAACTACCTAGAAGAATTAAAAGCAGAGACTTGAAGAGATATTTGTATATACATGTTCAAAGCATTATTCACAAAAAGTAGAAGCAACCAAAGTGTCCACTAATGGGTGAATGCATAAACAAATATGGTATATACATACAATGGACAATTATTCAGCATTAAAAAGGAAGGAAATTCTTTTTTTTTTATTTTTTTTTTATTTTTTTTATTGTTATGTTAATCACCATATATTACATCATTAGTTTTTGATGCAGTGTTCCATGATTCATTGTTTGTTCATAACACCCAGTGCACCATGCAAAACGTGCCCTCCTCAATACCCATCACCAGGCTAACCCATCCCCCCACCCCCCTACCCTCTAGAACCCTCAGTTTTTCAGAGTCCATCATCTCTCATGGTTCGTCTCCCCCTCTGACATACTCCCCTTTTCTAAAAGGAAGGAAATTCTGACACATGATACAACATGGATGAACCTTGAAGATAGTATGCTAAGTGAAATAAACCAATCACAAAAGGCCAAATACAAATGATTCCACTCATTTGAGGTACCTAGAACCTCAAATCATAGAGAAAGAAGGTGGTGGTTGCCAGGGGCTGGGGGGAGTGGGGAAGGGGGAGTCACTGTTTAATGGATACAGAGTTTCAGTTTTACAAGATAAAAAAGTTCTGGAGATGGATGGTAGCCATGGTTGCTCAACAATGTGAATGTACTTACTGCCCCTAAACTGTACCCTTAAAAAAGGTTTAAATAGTAAATTTTATGTTACATGTATTTTACCACAGTAAAAAAAACCTCAAACTTGAAGAGTTTGCAATGGTTGTAACAGGAAAATGTTCCTAAACATAATATTCCAAATATTTTGATGACAGCTGAAATAATTGCTACAAATAATACGAATAATAGCCAAAAATTAGGAGCAATCCAAACACCTACCATTAGAATGGATAAACTGCTGTATACAGTGTAATGGAATACTAACAGGGCAATGAGCTCAAAGGACTACTGATCTAACTGCTTTATTTGGCAGTATATCTAACATACCGAGTGATGTCTCCTGTGGTATCGTATATTATTATCTAACCGTTCATGAGCTTCTGCTTTGTTTTCCCAGTTGCTCATATAAATTCCTGGGTGCACAGAGTGTATCTTAATCAGTGCTTAATCAACACTCCCTCTTACTGCCTACTTATTAGTACAGCGTCTTGCACACAACAGACCATCAAGATATAGCTACTGATTTACCTATCATATATGCAAAACTGCTCTGCGACATAGACAGAATTCCTGTATTTGTCTGCTTTTTACGTGAGAAACTGAGGTTAGGGATCTGTAGTACCACACAATGAGGAAAGCACAGATGGGCTGATGTAGGCCAATTACCCTCTACCACACAGTATGTACTGCTTCCTACAACTAGAAAAAGTTGGAGGTGGGGGGAACAGATCACTTCCCTAGGGAAAGGAAGCAAGGTTAAGGAGAGTTTCATCCAAAAATAACTGGTTTAATGAAGTCCAAAGTTAGAAACAAGGTCATTTGTATTAAGCGAAGAACAGTAGAGCATGGTAGTTACACAGGGCCTCTGCTAGCCCTTCAATGCCTTTATGCTAACTCAAAAAATAAAAAGAAGATAGTAGGAAGGGTAAAATGAAGGGGGTGAATCAGAGGGGGAGACGAATCATGAGAGACTATGGACTCTGAGAAACAAACTGAGGGTTCTAGAGGGGAGGGGGGTGGGGGGATGGGTTAGCCTGGTGATGGGTATTAAAGAGGGCATGTTCTGCATGGAGCACTGGGTGTTATACGCAAACAATGAATCATGGAACACTACATCAAAAACTAATGATGTAATGTATGGTGACTAACATAACATAAAAAAAAAAAAAAATCCAGGTGGATGTAGCCTTGCACCAAGAAAGTCAGTTTGGCAGGCGGAGCACCTGCTACATTTCAGTTGCTGCCATGCCTCTTTGTCCTTGTGCCCTTGTGCAGTGCCATATCCTGCACAACGATACATGATAGCTCCAGGTTAAATAGAACACAAACTCCAGAGTCAAGTTGCCTGAGGTGAGAGCCCAGCTCCAAAGCAGCTTCACTACATGACATCAGACCCGTATTTACTTCCCTACACTTTCTCATCTAGAAAATGAGGACGATTATGGTGCTTATTTTATACGGTGATTATAAAATGACTAGTCATAAAATACTAGTACCTTAATGTATAAGAAAGATTTGTAGGTGTTGCAAATATGAAACCACTTTACTGTACGTGACATAAGCTCAGAGTGCAGAGTAATGAAATCTATTTGAAGGTATTTATGAGTCACATATTTATGACTGGATTTTGGATTGGAAATGAAGAAAAAGACAAGAAAATTGGTTCCTGCTTTTGTAAATTATGTAGTCTACTTCTCTGAAACCAGAGCAAACAACTAATGATGTAAATGCCACATCCTTAGTGGTTCTCTTCAATTGGGGAGAATTAATCATGCAAAAACCTAGACCTCTCAGCAAATGGACCTATTTTCAAATAGCAATTGTGACATATATTTCCACCCACTCAACAATTGTGAAAATCATTTCAGTAACACTTTAGGGTCCAGCACCATACCTAGTACAACAGACATTGCCAAATGCATGGATTTCATTGTATTCCTTCAGAAATCAGGAGCAGTGGACAACTTCCTGCTCATTAGTACCTGTGATTCCTTTAGTCCCAAGCTGAGGGCAAGTTTCTTTCGGTCTGTTTTGCTGATATATTTCTGCTTCTGAAACATTTTCTCCAGAGCCTTTCTCTGATCCTCAGAAAACACAGCTCGTCTTAAAATACCCCTCCGAGCTTTGGAGTTAGAGTCCTGCGTCAAGAGAGGCAGCACACTCCCTTCTCCTAGAGGAGGAAGACAGGTACAAAAGCCCAGTTAGCATTAGTGAGAAGCCCATCTGCCTTTCCCAGGACAGTATCTTCCTTCTCTGTACCACAGCCAAATGATCTCCTCTCCGAACTCTGCACACTCAGAGCAGTGCTTCTTCCATGGTTTTGGTCATGGACTCCATTGAGAAATCCGATATATACTCTTGGCTCCCCAATGAGAAAAAAGTATATATGCTTGCCCTCCCAATTTGGGTGCCACGTTAGAAAGTCTATGGTCCCGCGTTACAAAACTCAAAGGCAGAACAAATAGTAGGTGGGTTAAACACTCCATTTTTCTCTAATTCTTCATTTATTTATTCATTTGTTTTTTTCTCTCAACAAAGTTTTGAACACTTACCATATGCCAGGCACTCTGCTCAGTGTTACACATTGAGACACAAGACGGATACATTTTATTGTACGCATTACCCGTAAGATTTAGTCAAGGCATTTATTGAACTAGCATCACAAGTGTGAGGATATATTCCAAAGAAGGCTGCCTTGAGCACACAAAACAAGGATCTGATCTTAATCTGGGATTTCAGGGAAAGCCGGTAGGAGTCAGAGATGTTCAACCTGAGGAGGGAGGTTTGGAAGATCCCCAAGCACTATACCACTCCCCAATCCAGCTGACCATCAAGTCCTTCAGGTCAGAGATATTTACTACTTTTTCTGCCTTCTGTGGCTAGCACAACTGGTTCCCACCCTCTAAGAGTTTCATTCATCATTTATCCATTCATTCAGTCATTCAGCTTCCCAGTTATGGTAGGAAGAATAATGGTCTTCCCAGAGATGCCTATGTGAATATGTTCCCCAGAACTTAGAAATACATTACATGACATGACAAGGGGGAATTTAGGTTGCAAATGGAATTACAGCTGTTAACCAGATGACCCTGAGATTAGAAGAGTATCCTGGGGTAACCAGGTGGGCAATGTATATGTGCTGCCGAAGCGAGCACAACCAGGTGGGCAATATAATCACAAGGGTCCTTATGAGTGGAAAAGGGAGGGAAAAAAGGAAGTCATAGAGAGAGACTGACTTTCTCTGATGCTACACTTCTTGCTTTGAGGATGGAGGAAGGGGCCACAAGCCAAGAAATGCAGGCAGCCACTAGAAACTGGAAAAGGCAAGAAACAAATTCTTCCCTAGAGCTTCCAGAAGGAACTTGGCCCTGATGACACCTTGATTTTAGTCCAGTGAGACCCATTTCAGGCTTCTGACCCCCATAACCGCAAGATAATAAGCTTGTATCAAGACAGTAGGTTTGTGGAAATTTGTTACAGCAGCAAGAGGACACTCATACCTGGTATCCGGCTAACTGAGATTTGAGAAAACCAGACCAACAGCACATGGTCCTTGCCCTCAATGAGCTCACGTTCTCATCGGAGGACTGACATGAAGATCACAGTGGAATATAGGCACCCACGGAACAGGGACGCCAGTTTATGGCTGTAGCTAGTACACATTTTGGTGCTTAATAATTATTTCTAAATAAAAAAGCAAATTAATGTCTTAAGCACTACAGTAGAATGAATGATCTTATGAAATGCTCTGGCATCACAAAGGAGGAAGTAATTAACTCAGAGAAAACAGGTTGAGCCAAGTCTAAAAGACCAATCCAGTTCAAGAGAGAAAGAACCAAGGCCAAGCTAGGCAGAGTGACTAGCACGTCTAGAAGCACTGAGGTACACCTATAAATACAGAGAACAAACTGATGGTTGCCAAAGGTGAGGGGGGTGAAGGATGGGGCACAAAATGAGTGGAGGGGAGTGAGAAATACAGGCTTCCATTTATGGAATGAATAAATTATGAGAATAGAAAACAGCATAAAGAATGGAGTCAATGATACTGTAAGAGTGATGTATCAGGACAGATGGTAGCTGTACTTGTGGTGACCACAGCATAATGTACAGACTTGTTGAATCACTATGTTACACATCGGAAATTAATGTAACTTTGTATGTCAATAATATTCAACATTTTCTTAAAAAGCACTAAGGCATAAAGGAATAAAATTTATGGCAGGAAAACTAAGCAGTCTGCAATGCTGGGAAGGGCATGAAGCAGAGGGGGCAAGGTGGCAACCACATCCAGCCCGCAAATGGGCTTTGTTTGGTCTTAGAATTCTGATGTAGTTGTTCACATTTAATAATTAGATTTCATGTGAAGTACAGGTTTCTGACATCTCTTCAAAGGTAACCACACTAGGCTCATCTTCCCAGAAAGCAAAGAGCTACCAGAGTGAATAGCAGGTGTCCCCTTTTGATGGAATGTGTGGCCCTCAGTTTGCCACAGCCTCACCTAGCTTGCTTTCTACCTGCCAGGCTCTTGAAGACATTTGGACCTTTGACATAGAGATTATAGAGTGGAACGGAGCCAGATCATAGAGTACTACGAGAGTTTGGGATTTTATCCAATAGTAGTGATCAGTAGCAGATGTTTAATCAGGGTTTGATATAATAATAAACAGAGTACTCTTGTACCACTATACCTACTCTGTGTTAAGCCACTGATTTGCATTAATTCACTTAATCCTGCCCAGCCTATGCCCCAAATGTTATACTATTCTTCTCCCCACTTTACAGATGAATAAAATGAAGATTAGGCAGCTTAAGAAATTTTGTCCAAGGGGTACATGACTAGGGTTCCAAACCCAGGACAACTAATTTCAAAACGAATGCTCCTAACACTACACAATATATTCTAACTCAATCTGACTTGTATTTTAGGAGGAAAAAATGTCAAAAATTAATAAATCTTGTCAAATCTACTTCTGTAATATGATAGCTTCCTTTCTTACTTGTCTAAAAGACATACCAAAATGCACAGCAAATTGGTATTACAGATTATCTCCCAGTGAGTCTCTCAGCCCTGGCTTACACCTCATTCCGTTTCATCCTCACATTGCAAGAAAGCCTCTCTCTTTCCTTCCAGCTCTGTAACATTTGCATCTCCTCAGAAATGCCATAGCTCCTGGGATGTAATCAAGTCTAATTTTTTACAACAGTCTACTTTTATTGATGCTCTTTCCATTCATTGTATGAGATCTTACAATTCTGTTAATTCTCCATCTACAGCATTTTTTTTTTTGCCTATCACGTGCCAAGGCCATACCTTGAAACCAGGTTTTGACAATTGGATTCACTGATTCTTTATCAAAGATTTAAGTAGTTTTATGAAATATTGGTCAATAATAAAAAATATTCTAAATATCTCAGTATGTTGTTTTTCTAAATGTTCTTCTTCTCTGAACTTTGCTTTGTAGAGACTATGGAATTGGGCCTTCTACATTAGTTACGAGATTCATCTGTTGGTGTGATCTCTCTCCAGGAAGGCTACAACAAAGGAGTTTGGAATGTGTAATATGGAAGAACTGGGTTTGGATCATGGCACTTACCTGTATGACTTAAAGCAAGTTACTCAGCCTTTTTCAGCTTATCTTACAAGGTTGCTCTAAGGATTCGATGACCTAACACAAGAAAATTTCAGTGCCTGGACCACAATAAGGATCCCATGAATCTATCTACTTTTGCTTGTTGGATTTCATTAGATTCTTATAAGAACCATATGTCACAGACATCCTCCGTACAGATGAAGAAGTATTCAGGGCTGAACCATATGTCACAGACATCCTCCGTACAGATGAAGAAGTATTCAGGGCTGTTAAGGTCCAAAGCCACACCAAGAACACAGAGCTCAGCTGGTAGCAGGACCTTCTGAATCCAAATGTTTGGCTCCTTCCTCTGTGCTATGCTGTTTCTTTACTCAGATATCACATGTCAAAACAGAAGGGAAGAAACACGTGAAACACAGACCTCCTGTCTGTGACTACAGGCTTCTGCACCCTTTCCTGGACTAGTGTGTGAGTGTGGACTACAGGGCATCTCCTGTATAGCCTAATAATTGTATCCTCAAATTCCACCATGCCCTATCACTTGATATTTTGATTCTGGTATTTTTAATTTGTAAATGTATATAATCTATCATTATTATAGCCATATGTATCAAAAATTGGGGAAAGAAATGTAAACATCCAAAGGTAAAGAAATATCCACTTGGTGAAATTTTAAAGAACCATTAAAGATGAGAACTGTGAAAAGCAGGCAGCAGCAAAGAAAATACGCTATACTGCATATGATAAATAAGACACACACTATGTTTATAACTAAGTGAAAATGCAGAGAAGAGACTGAAAAGGCAAAAATAAACATAAAATAGGCTACTATAGAGTTATGGACAAGTAATTCATCTCTATTCTGCATTTTAAGTCTGGTTCTACTTTCTAAGGAAAACAAAGCAAACATTGTAGCAACTTTTTTGGGAATAATCCTCTTTTTTAAAAGATTTTATTTATTTGACAGAGAGAGAGAGCGCACAACTAAGCAGATCTGCAGGCAGAGGGAGAGGGAGAAGCAGGCTCCCTGCTGAGCAAGGAGGCCGATGTGGGGCTTGATCCCAGGGTCCTGGGATCATGAACTGAGCTGAAAGCAGATGCTTAACTGACTGAGCCACTCAGGCGCCCCTGGGAATAATCTGGTGGAGTGATGGGGATGTTGCTAAGTGACAAATGAAGATGAAGTCAATCCATCTCTCAGTGCTCACAGTTGATTAGGAGAGGTCCAAGAGGTATACAGCCAGCCACAACACAGCGAGATAAATAACTGCAGACCATGGCAGAGAAAGTACTTAAGAACCAGATAGGAAGCCACTTAGTCTTGGAGCCTAGCAGAGTAAGTCCTGAGAGAGAAGAAAAGCTAGAAGAACAGCATTTCCTCTAACAGGCAATCTAAACAAAGGCAGGCAGAGCAGAGGGGTTAAAATCTGCAGGCCCATGAGTGGAGCGAGGACATGGGCAAAACACGGTGGACCTGGAATCTCACACAGCTTGGTATTTCCAGACTGCAAGGTATGAGTGGCAAGAACACAGGAGATAAGCTGGAAAAGTGCATTAGGGTCAAGGGGTGACTGAAATG